AGAGATATGGAGAGAGAGGGCAGCCTTGTCTTGTTCCTGATTTTAGAGGAAATGCCTTAAGCTTCTCTCCATTCAGTTTGATGTTGGCTGTTGGTTTACTGTATATTGCTTTTACTATGTTTAGTTATGTTCCTGTTATCCCTGATCTCTCCAAGACCTTTTTCATGAAAGGGTGTTGAATTTTGTCAAAGGCTTTTTCAGCATCTAGTGAGATGATCATATGGTTTTTCTTTTTCAGTTTGTTTATATGGTGGATCACGTTGATAGATTTTTGTATGTTAAACCATCCCTGAAATCCAGGGATGAAGCCTACTTGGTCATGGTGGATGATTTCTCTGATGTGTTCTTGGATTCAATTTGCCAGCATTTTATTGAATATTTTTGCATCAGTGTTCATGAGAGATATTGGTCTGTAGTTCTCTTTCTTAGTTGTGTCTTTGTGTGGCTTGGGTACCAAGGTAATTGTGGCCTCGTAAAAAGAGTTTGGTAATGAACCCTGTGCTTCTATTGTGCAGAACAATTTGAGGAGTATCGGTATTAGCTCTTCTTTGAATTTCTGGTAGAATTCTGCACTGAAGCCATCTGGCCCTGGGCTTTTTTTGGTTGGGAAACACTTGATGACTGCTTCTATTTCATTAGGGGTTAAATGTCTATTTAAATTAACCCTAACTCTAACCCAACCCTAACCCTAACAACCCTAACCCTAACCCTAACAACCCTAACCCTAACCCTAACCCTAACTAACTTAAGAGCTGCATGAGTCTGTAGTTAAAGGAGATGAATTTAGAGAGAAGTTTGGTATTAGTCCATCTGCCTAACAGTAAATTCAACCTTGGGCTCCCCAAGCTCCCCAACCTTGGGTTCTTGGCCATATTTGTAGTACCATGTATATGTTTCTTCATGTGTAGTGTGCTTTAGATCCTGTTTGAAAGCAGCTAGTTGCTACCATAACAACCATGCCACTATTTCTTCCAATGGTGTACCCTGCCATATCAGTCATTATTGCAGTTACCACAGTTAAAGTTTGGTAAAATTGTTGGTTGGATTTTTTCCCCTCAGTATGGAATGCTTTTTAAAGCCAAGGTATCCTGTCCTTTGGGCTATTCCCTCCTATTATTCCCTCCTATTCACTGGCCATGAAGCCACCTGTGACACCTCCTGCTACCTGCTGCAGTGAATAGCACACCTGGGAAGTGAAAGAGATGTGTTTACCTACCCAGGTCATTATCGGCTATGGTGGAGGCCAAGGAGTCCCCCACACATGCCCACAAAAACTTGAAGTATGTTTTCTTTCATTTTAAGGTAAGAATTGCAATTTAAGTTTAAGAATTAACTTTGCATTTACTTCCATTAGTTTTAAAAATGCCAACCTATTTTTAGGACACAGATTTTCAGTCTTGCAAGCCTGTGCTATTTAATTTTCCAGTATAAACTACAAATGAAGGCCCATGACCCAATTTATTTCCCCAGCTCTGGTTCTCTCATGTGTTAATCTCAGCTCAACTCCTTCATTCCTTACCATCAAGCTTCCCATGTACACTCCACTCCTTAGCCTGGGTGTTTTTCTCAGCACAGCCATCACTCGTTGTGGCAGAGCTCTTGGAAAGAACAGCTGCAACAGAATCCCTTTCCAGCTCCACAATACCCTGCACATGCAGGATAGCTGCACAGATCAATATCTGAATGTTCAGGCCCAGAGAGACAGCTCAGCAGTTAAGAGCATGCTGCTCTTTCAGAGGACGGGAGTTTAGCTTCCAGAACCCACGTCAGGGGCTCACAGCTACCAGCCAGCACCAGCATTGTCTGGTGTCTTCTTGCTGCTGTGGCCACCACTACTCACATGCACACTCACACCCATGTGCATGGACAGGGAGAGAGAGAGAGAGAGAGAGGGAGGGAGGGAGAGGAGACAGGGAGAGGGAGAGGGGAGAGAGGAAGAGGGAGAGGGGAGAGGGAGAGGAGACAGGGAGAGGGAGAGAGGGAGAGGGAGAGGGAAGAGAGGGAGGGAGAGGAGACAGGGAGAGGGAGAGGGGAGAGAGGGGACTGGGAAAGAGGGGGCAGGGAGGGAGAGAGCAATCAAAATAACACAATCTTTTTTTTTTAATTTTCTTTTTTATTACTTTTTTTATTACTTTATATAACAAAGTCCACTTAAATGAAAACAAACATTTATAGACAATATTTGGGAATTTGGGCGTTGTTCTTTCCAAACTACTTCCTGCTGGTAAGGGGCGCTGTCTTGGGGGATTCGAAGAAGATTCAGATATCTTGGCTGTAGTCTGTAGGGCTGTTTTGTCCAGCTGTTTTGAATGTAGGATCACCTCCTACTCTGTTTCAGGCGGTCTGGCTTGATCAAACCACATTAGTCTGGAAGGAATCCACATCTTTTCATTTTCTGTGGAAACAAAAATAGAAATCCTTTCCCCCAGTAACTTGTCCTTCAACTTAAATTTTGGAGTCAAAGCATTTTTTTTTTTAAATTTATTATTTTACATGTTGATCCCAGTTCCTTCTCCCTCTCTCCCTCCCTCCCTTTTACCCTCTCTGCCCTCTCACATGCAACTCTAACCACCCTCCCCTCCCATCCCCCACCCCAATTCCATATGTAGGGGAATGCCATCCACTTGGGGTCATGTAGATCTGACAGGTCATGTGAAGTAGGGACTAGGGCTTCTCTCCTGTCTCTAGATTAAGGCAGTTATCCCTCCATGGGGGATGTGTTCGCAAAGTCCTTTTGTGCACCAGGGATACATCCTGGCTCCACTGTCTGAGGTCCCTTAGACTGCTCAGTCCTTTTGGCTGAGGCCCATATTCAGGGGGCCTGAGTTAGTCCCATGCTGGCTTCCCAGCTATTAGTCTAGTGGCCGTTAGCTCCTCCTTGTTCAGGTCAGCTGTCTCTATGTGTTTCTGCCACATGGTCTTGTCCTCTCCATCTGCTTCTGGGTTCTAGTTCGACTCAGTGTTTATGTATGGGTGTTTGATCCTGTTTCCAACAGGCATTAGTTGAGGGCTCCATGGATAAGTTAGTTGTTGATCTCAATCTTTTAAAAACAAGTGTCAGGTGTCTGTCAGTCTGGTTCCCCAGCCCTAAAGGCAGTAGTCATTTCTCATGACCTCAATGTCACCACAAAGATTCCTTATTTTTTTAAATCAACTTTACCTACCTACCTACCTATCATCTATCTATCTATCTATCTATCTATCTATCTATCTATCTATCTATCTATCTATCCATCCATCCATCTATCCATCTCCTCTCCCATTTACCTTAGCTTTAATATAAAATTTCTTTTTCTGCTCCATAGTCTGTTCTGAGACTCTAAATAAACGTTAGACTTTGTTGTTGTCTGTAAGATTTTCATCATTGTAGGCTGTGTTTTCTTGACTTTTTCTTACATTTCAGTTTTGAAATTTTCTCAGCTTCATGTCTTTTTGCTCCTACTCTGCTTCCTTTTGGCCATTATATTTTCAAATTTTCTTTTTCCCGTCTTTTGTAGATTCCAGATCTCTAGAGAAACCCTTTATTTTGCTCTCTCCTGTTTTAAATAATTCAAAGTCTGACTCTGATATGTGTCACTTGTAAATATGCTTCTGTAACTTTTTTGGTTATTTGATTCTATTTTCAGGAATATGTGACATTTTTAACACAACTGAAACACTATGTTCTCTTACTGCAGAAGAAGACTTTAGTTTTGTGTAACCTTGTAGTCAGATAATCCTTTAAAGTCATTACAGCACATACAGCCATGGGCTAATGACTTTCACTCTGGCATTTGTCTGTGCATGTTGTGTACTTTCATCATACCCATCCATTAGTCCCTTTCCTCTGTCCTCCACCCACTGCTGGTCCTCTTCCTCTTCTTCAGACTTTGCCCTTTGACCCTGCTTTTAGAAGAACCTGGGTATGTTTTAAAAACTGTTACACTAACATGGAAATAGAGAACTTCTGCATCTGGGTTTTGATTTTAATCAGCAATTACTGTCAACTATTACACAATGTCCCCTATAATTCTATTTTAAGGAGTTAAAATGTGAATTTTAACTAATACAAGGTCAGTATATAAGGAGGTAAACAATTTAAGAACGTAACTAGATAACTGTAGTGCATTCTGCTTATTGCTTTATGGGTTGTGTGATTGTCTCGGGGTTTCTATTGCTGTGGTAAAACACCATGACCAAAAAGCAAGCTGGGGAGGAAAGGATTTATTTGGCTTATACTTCCAGACTATAGTCCATCATTGGAGGAAGTCAGGACAGGAACTCAAACAGGGCAGGATCCTGGAGGCAGGAGCTGATGCAGAGACCATGGAGGATGCTGCTTACTGGCTTGCTCCTCATGGCTTGCTCAGCCTGCTTTCTTATATAATTCAGGACCAGCATCCCAGGGATGGCACCACTCACCATGGGCTGGGCCCTCTCCCACTAATCACTAATTGTGAAAATGGCTTACATCTAGGTCTCATGGTAGCATTTCCTTAACTGAGTCTTCTTCCTGATGACCCTAGCTTGTGTCAAGATGACAAAACCAGCCAGTACAGTGACACACTCTCCCGGGACTACATTCTATGCCGTAGAGTTATTTAATATGTTGTGTTCATTTATTCAGATTATATTTAGAAAAGTAAAAGCTGTCTTTCTTGCTGTATAACATATGTATTTATATTTACAAAATTCTAAATAGTGTAAGAAATTCTTGGATTAAGTGGTCCTCACATATGTGGGGGTGACTGGTGGAATGGTACTTTGAGACTATTAGGGACACAGTGTGTTAGACATGAAAGGAGCCTTCAGTCCTGATGCCTTTTTACTTCACAATAAAGGTCACTGGACCCCATAAAGAAGAACAAGGGACAGTGAATGAGTGTACAAGCTGTGACTCAGGTTTTCTCCCATTTCTCAGAGCTGCGGCTTACCAGCTCTGTCATTAATGTCCCACAACCCAGGAAGAACCAAAATGACATTCGTTTACATCACATTTATTTCCTCCATTGTTTATCTGATGGATTCTTTGCTTGGCAGTTCGGATGTGCCTGGCTCTCAGTTGATTTCCAAATTCCCAGTTGCTGCCATAGATGCTGGCAATAAGGATGTCTGTCTCATAGCCTTTGGTTTTCCGGCAACTGAGCTGAGCCCTGGAAGATAATGCATTGGTCAGGTGACATGGAAGGTGTGCCTGTGACCAGCTTCAGGCTCCCATCCAGCATAAGACAAAGTAATAGAGAGCTATTACTGTGGACTGTGCCCGAGCAGGCCCAGCTCATCATCCTTGCCACTGTGCACTTGCTGACTAACAGGAAAGATTTCCACCTCCCCATCTGAATCAAGAGGGCTTTTGAGAGACAACAAAAGCTTTATGACTAACGTTCTTTTAGAAGGATGCAATCTTATTTTGAATATTAGAATCTTTGTGTATTTTGATTGTTTACAGGGGAAATGGGGTAAACTATTTCAAAGGGGACACTTAAGAAAATATATAGTTGCTGTGCTAAGACTCAGGCAGATGAAATCTTTTTTTTTTTCTTTACATCACTCAGGTTGTGTCTTGAGAAGGATTCTCTGTAAGTCCTGGAGGAGGCCTGGGGAGCATCTGAGGAAGTGTCCTGCATTATGGGGTTAGGAGTCAGATGAGCCTAAGGTAAAGGAGCATTAACAGGGTTGAGGAAATGGTTTGTTGGTTAAATAGTGTCCATGGGTAGCATCATGTTCAATTGCATTATTAAAAAGAATCTGAAGTCCCTTAGACTGCTCAGTCCTTCTGGCTGAGACCCATATTCAGGGGGGCCTGAGTCAGGCCCATGCTGGCTTCCCAGCTATCAGTCTGGGGGGCCCATTAGCTCCTCCTTGTTCAGGTCAGCTGTCTCTATGTGTTTCTGCAGCCTGGTGCACAAAAGGACCGCGCGCGAACACATCCCCCATGGAGGGATAACTGCCTTAATCTAGAGACAGGAGAGAAGTCCTAGTCCCTACTTCACATGACCTGTCAGATCTACATGACCCCAAGTGGATGGCATTCCCCTACATATGGAATTGGGGTGGGGGGATGGGAGGGGAGGGTGGTTAGGGTGCATGTGAGAGGGCAGAGAGGGTAAAGTGAGGGAGGGAGGGAGAGAGGGAGAAGGAACTGGGATCGACATGTAAAATAATAAATTAAAAAAAAGAATCTGAAGGCAGTTGAATACCTTTGCATATTTATGTTTTTACCCATAGACAAATGCCACTCTCACCTTGAATCAGAGAAGTTTTTCTGCAATAAATGGTGATTAATGAAAAGATGCACAGTACTCAAGGTGCTCAAAGAGAACGTGAGAGTTGAGTGTTCAACTCTAAATAGGCTATTCATGCCACTCTGCTAAGGCCTAGGGAACCCTGAAGAAAGGAGGAAGAAGGAATGTAGGAGCTGGAAGACAGGGAAAATGGCTGTGACACACTGTTTTATGGGCCCTTATGACACAGTCAATACGACCTTGATTTCATAGCAGTTATGGCTGCCTACAGTAAACCTACACAAGACTTGGCCTATCAAGAGTCAATCATGGGTCAGGGAGGATGGGACCCCTGCCTCTCCCTCTTGAACTACTGATGGATTCTGGAGGAGAGAGTCATTATTTTCCCCCAGTTGTGTACCCACTAAAGAGCTCACCAGGCTCCAGGGGATAATTCCAAACTCATGATCACACAAACATCTCTGGATAAACTCACTTGGTCTCAACAGAACAACAGCAATGACAAAAATTCATGAATATGGGGGTGGTATAAGGTATAAAGTGGAGGGGGACTAGAGGGGGATTTAATATGTTGTATGAAACTGTCAAAGAAACTTGATAAAAGTTAAAAAGAAGTCCATTATGCATGTCTATATAGTGCTTGACTCTTGGTGCTGAATTAAGTCCCCAAAGTAATTTGAGTTTCTAAAATACTTTCTATGAAGAAACTACGGTTTTCACATTCATCAGTATTTTAAACTCTCCACTGCTCCATCTCTATCTGTTGTTTTTCTCTGCTTCTTCAACACTCTTTCCTATACAGAACCACCTGGCTGGCATAGACTGTTTGGTTCTTTGTCTTAACCAGAGAGATCAAAAGAACATGGGCTGATCATGCCCTCACCTGTTTGCTTTTTCAACCTCATCACCTTTGCTCAGGACTAGCCTGCTTGCTAGGGTGTTCCCGTCATGTTAACAGTACCTAGGAAGTCTGAGTCCCTCCTATTTATGGGAGGGTAGTCAAGGAAGTATAGGCAGCGAAGGGTATTTGAGGAAGTACCTGGAAGAAACATAGGAGTCCTTCTTTGATGACAGAGTTAGAGTCTAGGGTAGAAGGCTGGCTGGTCACTGAGTTAACGTTCTTGGGTTCTAGGAATGGCTTCTGATGGCTGCTCTCTAGAGTTGAGCTGTGATCCTACTTTGGGGCTGTAGAGAAATCTGGAGGCTTGACGCTTCTGTACCAAACAAGAGGAATAGTAGATCATGAAGCAACGACATCCCAGTCTTTCCACCCTTCACATTCTTTGCTGTCTTTGAGCATCTACACTAGCAGAAATGGGCATCACTGAGTCTGGGTTTCCAGTTCCACGAGGAAAAAAAGTCCTTGTTGGGCACTGGGATTAAGAGTCATAACTCATCAGAGCCGAATGCCTCTGGTTTTAGAGGAGTATTAAGATTAGATGATAGATGATAGAGTTTTGGCCAGTCATTATTGTTCTTATCAAAGATTTATGATAATTAGATTTAGAGTTTCTGTAAAAACCTATTGCCCATCAGTGTTCCTTGCATATCCAGGCTACTGCAAGAGAATGAGACAACTTAGACCATGACTCAGAATGAAAAGTGCAAAAAGAGAGCTGTGGATTTAACTCAGTGGTAGAGCATTTGCCTGACAAGCCTGAGTTCAAGCCTCTATGCTGAAAAACATGAATAAATGATATGGCTTTGCTTTGTAAGGCCAGTGCTCTGGGAAGAGTAAATTATGTTTAGGTGGGGAATAGGGAGCTCACCTTTTCCAGTTCTTGGTTTAGGCAGAGCCATACCTGAAACATGTCAAAGAGATATTTTAAAAATATCTCCAAATCCACCTGAAGTATAATGCTATCCTCCTTTTTCACTACTCACTAAGGACTTTCAGGTGTCACTGCTGGAAGTCATTCTTGATGCTTAAATTAAATCTCTAGGTGGTGGCTGGATCTTTCTCCCTAGTCTGTGCTCAGTGTTGGGGTATAGGGCTCTCAAGATTCCAGTAATTGATTTTATAACCTTATAAGAAAACCCTTGATTCTTTATCATTCTTCGTGATGTTTCTTTCCAACTCACTGTCTCTCTGTGTGACCTTATTAGCTGTGATGTAATATGAGAGGCAGAGGGACAGAACCTTGGAACTCAAGCCCACTCCCTGGTTCAGTGAGAAGAATTTCCCAAAATCTGTTCTGGCGAGGTCCAGGTCTGACTGTAATATTTTGGGAATTTCTGATGGGAGGTCTGGTTGGAGAAGAAGCCTTGGCTTTGCTGCTTACCATCAGTTGAGAGTGAGGGAGAACCACCTCATGCTCTTTCAAGAGGGCATGTACCACAACTATAGGCTTCAGAAGGTGGCAAGGCCCATAGCTAGCTACATTTCTGGACACAACACCCACTGCCAGGTGGATGTTATCCCTTTTTCCAGACTATCAGAATAGGGCCACTTACCCAGTCCTGGGAGGCGCAGGTGGCATGGATGTCACAGAACGGTTGCTCATGCCTAAGAAAGGAGACATTCTGTTAAAGGTGTCTGGAAATGTCTCCCCAGATGCCAAGCTCACATATTCAGTTAAGAGACTCGCCAGTCAGTCAGAGTGGGAGGGGCCAGACTCATGGTAACATAGAACCTGTTGGAGGAGGATAGGATGCAGTACCAGATAGCTGTGAAGCATAGTCAGTTGTGGTACTAGAAAGCTATTCTCAATCAAGCTGGAGAGTCAACTGCCTCAGACTCAGATACTGCCCCTGGAGGAGCCATTTCCAACTTTCTTACTTTTTATAGCATGTTTTGGGGAGGGTCAGTGTGGGAAAGTGGTGTGTGTGTATAGAGCAGAGGTCAGCCTCACATGTTGCTCCTTAGATCTATCTACATTGCTTTTTGAGACAGGATCTCTTACTGGCCTAGAACTCACCAAGTAAGGAAAGGCCAGCAAGCCCCAAGGATCTACTGACCTTCACTACCTCATGGCTGAGGTTACGAGCACATGCAACAATACTCGGCTTTTCAAATGGGTTCAGGGCCTGAATTCAGGTCCTCATGATTGCATGGCCAGTCTTTTCCTGATCAATTCTCCACAGCCTGTGGATTTTATATTGTTTGGGATGGGATATGATGTATCCTAGGATGGTCTTGAACTCACTATGTAGCCAAGGATGGCCTTGACCTCTTGATCCTCCTGCCTCTATCCCTAGTGCTTGAATTACAGGCATTATATAATGGTAAGTATTGAATCCAGGGCTTTGTGTATGCAAGATGAAAACTCTTACCAACTGAGCTACATTCTCAGCTATGGAAAAATGGATACATTTTCATTACTCAAAATTTATCACCTGTTCTCTTTAGGAAGCAGAACAGCAATAGCAGCAGTTAGATCCCAAATCCACATTTTTACAGTGTGGGCATTCATAGAGGGATTCCCAAGACTCTGCATTGACTTCTATAGAAATCAAGTTTGCTTAGAGAGAGAAGAACATCTTTCAAGCATGAGCAAGTGTTGCCCTTTGCCATTTGACCTTAGAGGTCACAGTGACAATGTCTCAATAGATTCTACCAGAACAAATTTACTTGCATGGGTGTGATGGACTAACTTTGAAGATCAAAGAAAGATCTGGACTGCTTATATTTAAATATTCCCAAGATTTGTACTTATTTGAGTTCTGTTTTGTGGAGAGACCCCCCAATATTTGGATAGTGCCCCTTTGCCTATTGTACCCACAGGCAAAGTACCTTCAACCCTTTAATGGCATTTGGAGGTCCTTGAATTAATCCCATTTCATCCTGACAGATGGCTCAGTGACATTGGCATCATATGGGAGACATATCTGGATCCTCAGAACTCAAGCCCACCCTAGGACTCATGCTTAACAAGAGACATGGATGATTTGAATAATACAAAAACCAAATGAACCATGACTGATGGGTTCTATTCTGGGATGAGCAGAGGAAAGAACCCCAAATATGGCTTTGATGATAATTACACAGTCTTGAGTATCTGGAAACTAAAATTTGTGCTAGAGAGATAGCTCAGTGGTTAAAAGCAATTGCTGCTCTTTCAGAGGGCCTGAGTTCGGTTCCCAGTACCCACAATGGGTTGTACATAACCACCTCTAACTCCAGCTGTATCAGATCTGATGACCTCTTCTAGTCTCTGAGGGCATTTGTACACACACACACACACACACACACACACACACACACACACACACACCCTAAAAAGAATTGCAACTCGGTCACTAATTCCATGTAAATCTTTCCACTATTCTATCTCTACTAAGCCCTTCCCACAGAGCTGGGAAACCATTCCACTCTGTGCTAGTTGTCTCTTTTCTATTGGAAAGAACCACATCTGATTGAATGCTAGGACTTCTCAGTCTCTCAAGAGTAATTTCTCTGTCTCCAGATTCTTTCTGTCCAAGGGCTACAGATGGAATGTTGTGGCCCATGTTAAAACCAAATCACCAATGTGATGGTTTTTGGAAGCAGGACTGTGGGAGCCAGACTTCTCACAAATTGGATTAGTATCCTTGTTAAAAACAACTCCTGTGCCATTTCCACTGGGAAAAGGAAGTGAAAAGGAGAACGATGATCCAGGAGGTAGCCTGGCTCTGGTCAGTAGCAGAGAAGCAGCTAACACAGAGAAGTAGCCCTCATCAACAATCAAATCTGCCAGCAAACTATGAGAAATAAATTTCTGTTGTTTATAAGCCACTAGTCTATGACATTCTACAGCAGCAGTGTTAACAGACCAAGATTTCAGGTAAGTGGGCTGGATGGAGAAATGTGTTTATGGAGGCTTCCAGGAAAGTCAATGTTCAGCTTGACAGCAAGGAAGCCAGAGTTCAGCTGTAATCCAGACAGCAGGTCTTCAGATGAGACTTCAGGATAAACCCTTTCCTCTCAGATTCCTCCCCTTATTCCCGTATCCAAACCTTGGCATCGTTCTTTTTTACCTCGAATCCGAGCATCTTCCTGAAGCTGAAAGGGAATGAGGATTCAGTGGTGAGAGACTTAGAAGGCTGGTACCCCTGGGTCTTCAGAGGCGTCTAATTGTGGAGCACAAACATGCGGTGTGGTTTGAAAGTAAATGACCCCCAAAGGGAGTGGCACTATTAGGAGGTGTGGCCTTGTTGAGTAGGTGTGGTTTTGTTGGAGGAAGTGTGTCACTTTGGAGGCGGGCTTTGAGATCTCATATATGCTCAAGTCACGCCAGTGAGTCAGTTCACTTCCTGTTGCCTGTAGCTCAGGTGTAGAACTCTCAGCTCCTTCTCCAGCACCAAGTCTGCCTGCACACCACCATGTGCTGCCATGATGATAATGGACTGAACCTCTCAAACTGCAAGCCACCCCAATTAAATGTTTTCCTTTATGAAAGGTGCTGTGGTCATGGTGTTTCTTCACAGCAGCAGAAACCATAGCTAAGACACATCGGGTGGAGCTATACATTCCTTAAAAGAGTTTACATTGGTTTTGTATATTTCAAAGCTGGCTGCTTCAATGTGTCACCTACAACATGATGCTGGATAATAAAGTGAGTAGAGATGGGAGACACAGCTCATTACCCACAGCCTGAATACACAAAGAGCTTACTTATTTTCTTCTAGCTTTTATGCTTTGACTTTTCTCATGTTATTTCAAGGGATGCCCTGTAGACTTGGGAAGGGCCCTTTCAGGCCCTTTCTACTTATCTCAGTGTATACAGCTGCTGGTTGCTCTGATGTGGGTCTAATCAGAAATGGGGCTTGTCCTAATTGGCACATTTTATACTCCTTTGCTTGACTTCTTTCTAAAAAAGGACTTCTTGGCAGTTGTGGTGCACAACTTTAACGCCAGCATTTGGTAGGCAGAGGCAGGTGGATCTCTTTGAGTTCGAGGCTAGTTTGGTCTACAGAACAGGTACCAGGACAGGCTCTAAAGCTACATAGAGAAATCATGTTTTGAAAAACAAAACAAAACAAACAAAACAGACTTATTTCATGTGTATTGAGTGTTTTGCCTGTGTGGATAGCTGTGTTCCATGCATGCAGTACCTGTAGATGCCAGAAGAGGGCATCGTATCCCTGGAACTGGAGCTGCCTTGTGGGTGAGGGAACCCTTTTGCCACTGAACCATCTCTCCAGCACCTTGCTTGTCTTATCTTAGTATTTGAGTTAATTTTTTTTCCCCTTTCACTATGCCTTGGGGATCTGGTCTGAACCAACATGAAGTTTGGTAGGGAAGAGACTGTATCTGAATCATTCTAAGAGAAGGCACCAGAGAGGCCTTCTGTGGGGGACTGGGAGCAGATGGACTGTTAACTTCATATACATCCCAGCAAAAAAGGGTTGCCCCCCCCCACCCCCCATTAGCTTAGGTTCTGTCTGCAGGAGAATATGGTCTCAGGAGACTAAAATTCTAGGTAGAGAGAAAATACCCTGACCCCCAGAGGTAAAAATGGGTGGGACTATGACATTTCTGATCTCTGTCCAGCGCCCACTTGATCTAGTTAGAAGCAAAGCCTGCCGTGGCTTCCATGAGAGTAAGTTCCAGACGTTGCAGTAGGACACATGGTGTGACTTCTTGGACCACAGAGCGGGACCCAGTTCCAGGACCAAAGTGAAAGATCGAAAAATTTTAGTGTCTCCTCAGCCCCCTTGCTCATTATTCCTCTCCAACTAGGAAGAGAGGTCAATTGTTCCTAAGATGGAGGGGCTCCTAGTATGTTTAGAGTCTCATTTTAATGAAATTTTGTCTTTCTTTGGAGAACAAAAGAAGTGTGTAAAGAAGTTTCCTGCTTGCCCTTGTTTTCTGATATGATACATGGTCAAAATTAGATTTTCTTCTGATTATAGTCTATATAAGTTAATAGTAATTGTGAATATATTATTACATAGATAAAGAAGAGGTGTAGGAGTAAGAACAGGAGAGGGAGGGGAGGGAGAAGGGTGTGGATGCAGCAGGGGACTTGGTGGGTCTGAGGTGCCTCAGCAGTTTGAACAAGCTTAGCCTCTGGGGAAGGGCCAGCACTACAGCTCCTGCTTTAATATAATGTTTAAACATTTGATCAGTGTTTAGAAAAGAGATTGAACTCTGCATGGGGACAAAAGTTTAGACCTGGGCTATAATTTACACTTCCCCACAGTTCAGAGGCATGTCGTCTCCCAGGGCCACTCATGCTATCCCGAGGGTTCCCCTCTCTGTAGTCCCTGCTCAGCACTTCATATGATCACATCAAGAATTCTTTTGGGAGAATTTCTGGTAAATTCAATCCCCCCTCTGGTGTTTTACTATAGTTCCTCAGAGGGAGTTGTTAGGCATCTTCTTGCCGCAGTTGCCTGGGGTGACAAAACAGTCATATTCTTTGAAACGAACACCTTGGTAAGTGTTCTCAGCAGGGCATGGAAGAAAAATGATGTTAAAAGGCAGGGGACTTAGAGAATAAAAGTTTAACCTCACCTCCTTTTGGATGCCTTTAAAGGCTGTTAGCACCTGGCAGAAGAAAAACACACACACACACACAAAAAGATTATTAGTATCACTTTATCACAGAGTGAACTTATATTTAAAATTAAGTGACCTAGCCTCCAAGTTTATAGTGTATTATTTTATGTCATAACCCAATTGCTCCAGTGTGTCAAGTGTGAGTTCCAACAGGCTGGGCCGTTTTAGCCCCAACAATAACCCACAATGACTTCATCTCTACATAGATCTCCAAGCCAGTTCTCCATGTGAAAGCTAATGATATTTCTAAGAAGGGCTGGGCTCTGAAGAGAATGTTAGTGAAACTCAGTGTTACACTTCATTTCTGTTTAATCAGTCCTTTTGTTGAAACTGAGCACAGCTATTAAAATGAATACTGTTGGCCATGCTGGTGCTGGCTAATAGGCCAGTGCTGGAGGGGACCTTGAATTTGAAGTCAGCCTGAGCTATACCCTTAAGGACTTCTGGGTAAGACAGAAGTTAGAAGTTGCTTCTCTGTGACATGTGAGGGGGAAGGATCAGGACAAACAAGAGCAGACTATTCCGGTGAGAGAACTTGTTGAAGAGCACCAGAAACACACAAAGGGATAGATAGGTCAGTGCAAAGTGTGGGAAACAGACACACATGACAAGTTCTGTGAAATCTCCAGCAGAGAAGCAGCCAGCACCAGCCAGCAAATGGCACCTGAACACCTGAACGGTGGGGTAGACATTGTTTTTCTGTTGCTGCGAAGAGACAGCATGACCAAGGCAACTTCTAAAAGCAAGCATTTCATTGGCCTTGCTCAGTTTTGGAAGGTGAGTCCCTGGCCATCATTGTGGGGAGAATGGCATCAGGCAGACAGGCACGGCACTGGAGCAGTGGCTGAGCCTACATCTGACGCCAAGGAGCAGGCAGACAGCGAGAGGAAGAGGGGAAGGGAGAGAGGGAGGGAGCCTGGGCCTGGCATGGGCTTTTGAAGCTTCAAAGCCCATTCTTAGTGACTCACTTCTTCAACAAGAACACACCTCCTAATCCTTCCTAAACGATCCACCAACTGTGGACCAAGTATTCAAGCCGACGAGTCTGTGGGGACATTCTCATTCAAACCATCCTATGAGGTCAGTGGTAGGTACCCGGAAGGTATGGTACCCTACACTTGCATCCCCAGACATGAACACTGTTAGAACAATGTCTTGGTTACTTTTATATTGGTCTGATAAGACACCATGACCAAGGCAACTTATAGAAGAAATAGTTTGTATAGGGTTTAATGTGTCAGAATGTTAGTGTCTATGATGATCATGTCAGGGAGACTGGAAGCCACGCCTTGATTCACAAGCACGCGCGCGCGCGCGCGCACACACACACACACACACACACACACACACACGGGGTGGGGTGGGGATAACTAGGAGTAGCATGGACTTTTGAAACCTCAAAGCCCACACCCTAGTGGCACACCTCCTCCAACAATGCCAATCCTCCCCCTTCCTAATCTTTCCCGCAAAGTTCCACCAACCGAGGACCAAATATTCAAGCAGATGAGCCTATTGCAGCCATTCTCATTGAAACCACCACAGATATCAAGCTGGAGAGAGGCTGAGCAGGGCGTGGAAGCATGACACCGAGCTGGGTAACCTGAGATGGCTGTCTAGCTAGGACAGCTCTGGCCTCAAGGCACTGGCAGCAGTGTGACACCGTGGCTAAAGCAAAGAGTATCCTGGAGGGTCTAGCCCAAGGCACACACGGAAGCCAGCACCCACACTACCACCCGGGCGAGCCAGAACACAGGCATGAGACGTATTTGGAACCTGTTGCATTCCCCACAACAGGCACAATGGGCGTCACTAGTGACAAAATCCAGTTGCCATCTGGTTGAGAGGACCCAGAGAAAAGGTGAACACGAGTTTGAGTGGGCCTCCTGCATTCCAGTGTCTTGGTGACAGTGTGTCCTGATTCAAAACCACCATTCCCAGAACAGCAGAGGCAAACCTGTAGCTGGCAGGCCATCATGGTGGTGGTAGTGACTGGGGAATCTCTGCAAAAGTTGGAGTCCCGCACAGCGACTCCTCTCAGCAGGGAGAATATAACTAATATAATTTGAATAATCGAGGCTAGTAATATGCCCCTAGACAGGTAGTGTCTGTTACAAATGACAACTGATCAGACTGGCACTTTGAGGGGAAGCAGACATTGTATTCAGCTGTGTACCCACCGAGGCACTTACTACACTCCAGTGAATAGTAGCAAACTCACAGAACAAAGAAAGTGAATGTGGGAAAGGGATGTGTAAGGAGGGTGTGTGTAAGGAAGGTAGGAAATGAGAGCGAAGGTGACAGATACCGGAATGTACTATACGCATGTGTGGAACTTTCAAAAGAACACATTTAATAAAAGAAAAAGGTAGCTGAAACTTTAAAGTTTCCAGGGTACCACTTAAAAAAAGACATCTGAATGATCTGCCTAAATGTAAGTGGACCATGTATGTGCCTGATGCCTGTGGATGTCAGAAGAGGGCGCCGGATCTCTCAGACCTGGAGTTACAGGTGTTGAGAACCAAACCTGGATCCTCTGCAAGTGCAAGAAGTGCTCTTAACTACAGAACCATTTCTCCAGCCAAGAAAGGTCTGTTTTTAAAAAATATTTTTATTAATTCTTTGAGAATTTCATGTGTATGCAAAGCATTTTGACTAAATAATCCTCTCACTGCTCCCCCTAACTACTAGATCAACTCCCACCTACTCCCATCTTCATGTGTCTTTTCCCCCAATACATCACCAAGTCCAATTTGTGCTGCCCATACACTTGTGTGTATGAAGCCATACACTGGAGTGTCGTCAATATGCCAGGAACTATGGCTTTAAAGAAAAATGATTCTTCCCCAAGAAGCCATAAAATGCCAATAGTTCCTCAGTTAAAAATGTGGGCTCATGGGAATTTCTCTCTGTACTCAAATGTCAACTGGCTTACTCTTGTGCAGATCTTATACAAATAACCATGGTTATTGTGATTTCATGACTACAAAGATCCTGTCATGTCCAGAAGACACTGCTTCACCCTGCCCTCACCAATTTCTGGGTCTTACATCTTACAATCTTTTTGCCTCTCTTCTATGGTGATCCTTGAGAATTTGAAGGAGAGAATATGATATAGGGTTTTCTAATTATGGCTGAATGCTCTGTAGACATTTATCACTGTGTGATGACAAGTTGTGAGTTTCTGGGTGAACCATCACCTATTGAACAAAGAAACTTGACACTATGTCCATTTAGTTCCACCCCTGGGACCTATAAACTTCCAACCATGGATTCTTAGCCAGTTTTACATATGCATGTATTTCCTCCTATGGAATGTCTTAAGTCAAATCAGAAAGTAGTTGGTTACCTACATAAAGTTCTTGCCACTATTGCACCAATAGGCACATTATGCCACATTTGTATAGTGGTTTATAGGGTTCACAGCTGGGTAAGATTATTGATGCTTCCTCCCTTAGCAGCCTGTAGACTTTCCAGTACTACGAAAGATCAGGAAGTAATCTGGTCAGCACCAAATTGATATCCCCATGTCAAGTGATCAAAGTATGTGGTCTTTAGCAATAGGATTTTACCACCAGCTTCTGGTGGGCATTCAAGAGCAATAGCAATAGTTTTTATTGTCTTGTAGGCTCCTGAGACACCTCTGATCAGCAACTTTGGAGGTGTTATATATCACACCTGACCTTGGGTTTTAAATCTGATACCTATGGTCTTTGGGAGAAGAATTATCCTTTGTGTAAGACAGCTCCAACTAAATTCTTTTATACAAGCCAGTGGCGGTGGTGCAAACTTTTAATCATGGCACTCTGAAGGCTGAGGCAGGTGAGTCTCTGAGTTTGAGGCCGGTCTGGTTTACATAGAGAGTTCCAGGACAGCCAGGGCCACATAATAGAGAGAACCTGTCTCAAAAAGACTACCCCTTCTTTTATATAAATATAAGATGAGCTGAGTATGAATATAAAAATAGTTTTAATCTGTTTTTTCCTCTGTCAATGTCAAGAGATAGCACTGATATATATAGTGGTGCTTGTTGGCAGTTGTTTACTCTCATTAATGTATCATTCCACATTTTCCTGTCCTTTATCATTGCTAATGGGGAGTTATGTGTTTGAGAATACATGAAGTAACCTGTCTGAAAACAAAATAAATAATATATAGACAAAGGCAAAAACTTTCTGAAAAGATTCCAACAGAACAGAAAATAACTCCAAGAATTGAAAGGTATCACACGCATCAAAATCTGCAGGGCAAAGGAAAGGTCTGTAGAGTGGAGACAGGTACAAAACAGAAAAAGGCTTTGCCAACTATTTACCGGAGGGGAATCATGTGTAGAAAGAACCACACCCTCCCAAATCTTCCCATCAATAATTGGTTAATAAACTGAACAGATGTTTCTCAAAAGGAGGAACAAAATGCTCAATAAACTTTTCAAACAGCGTGAACAGTTTATCCTTCAGGGAAATGAAAACTACATTGGTTTCCATCAACATCCACATAGTGGTTCAGGAACACGTTGCTATTCAGAACACTGCCAGCTGGAGTGCTCTCTATCCATGGACCCTGGAGCAGAGGACCCACATTCAGTTCATATCCTGACCCTTATCCCAAAACACTTGCACAGGGTTCCATCAACTGGTTACAGGGGGGTTGCAGGGAGAGAGGACAGAGCTGGGGCTCACTTGCAGTGTTCTTCTCCACCCTGGGTTTTCATCTATATCCTCGCAGATGGAGGTAGTAAGTACCATCTAAATGACCTAAATCAGCTTGGGGATGCAGTCATATCATATTTACTGTGTAGAATCAGCACAGCGATGCAATCACACCGAGTCCACGGGAGCAGCCAAACTTGCACTTACAAGTCTGTGGCTGTCACCCAGCCCTGAGGGGTTCAACAGCTGTGAAACCAAATGACACCACAGGACTCTGGTCAGGGCCAGATTGGTGGTTGGAAGCTGCACAAAGGTGTTGGGGTTCAAAGAGTAGTAGAAAAAAGCAAGAGGGACAGGGTGACCTTCATCACTAATCTGCCTAAAGGAAAAGACCCCCCCCCTTCTCCCACATGTCACTGTGCTGTCGCAAGCATCCCTGTGTACTTACCTGGTCCCACAGGGTTTCAGTGATTGCTAACTCCCTTTCCTGTTGGAAACAAGACAAATCTTGGCAACATTATCCAAACTCTCCAAGAGTCTGACCTGATGTAACACGGAAATGGTGGGATAAAAGATATTTCTTGGAACTGAAGTGAAATTCTAAAAGTTATTTTATTTTTCTCCCAGGTACCTCAGAGCCATATAAATACCCTGTAACCTAACCTGGAACTGTCAGGTATAGAAATGGCATTGGAATTATGATGTGGTCTTGGTATTAGTGACCTGCCAGCCTTGCAAACTCCTGAACCACAAAACCTATGTGCTACACACAAAGATATAATCTTTACCATACAGATTTTCTGTCAGAGCCTTGTCTTCTCTTTTCTCCCTGGAATCCAGGAGTCCCCCCATTCAAGAAACCAACACACGTGGCTGTCTTACCCACCTGTGATTTTATTGTCTCTTCAATGGATGTGCTAGAAAGAAAGATGATAGAAATGTGATGAGAAGCAGGAACGGGAATTTACAAGTTTCTCTTAATTCCATTTTACTAGTGAGAGTCCTTGAATTTTAGAAATAGTCATCATCCCACATCTTATATTCCACCTGGGGCTCCATCTTCTTGGTGTCACCAAGAACTTTGAGGACACCGCAGAACAGCAATGAAGGCAGCGCCTTACTTACCATCGTCCAGCCCATCACAGCTACATCCCACTCTTGTCTTTGAACTGCCTAGGACCTTTCCGAGGAAGTGCATGCAATTATAAAACTGTTGTCTTTGTGTTCTGAAATGCATTCTTCTGATAGGCCTGGGGAGGAAGCTGAGGAAGAACTTGAAAACTTTGCTATTCTGGGAAGCAGAACTGAAGGCCTTATTGCTTTCCTCAAATGTCATTTATTAGAAAATACAATTCTGGGGAAAGGAGATGCAAGGGAAAGTGGGTGTTACAGTGCATAGACCTCTTTTGGCTAGGGACAAAGTGTCAAAATAAAGAGCTATAGGCAAAAAGCCAGAGCACATCCATGGTCCCATAAGGTCTTACTCTTAAGTGCTACTATGCTGTGGAACAGTATTTGTTTAACTATATAAAGATGTTACGTTTGTTTATACCACATTTGTTTAATTATGTAAAGATGTGTTGCTGTTTTACCTTGCCTGCCTAAGGCACATGATTGGTCTAATAAAAAGCTGAATGGCCAATAGCTAGGCAGAGGGATAGATGGGGCTGGCAGGCACAGAGGAAAGGGGAGCCAGCCAGTGGGGGTCCAGCCAGCCAGGAATGGGGAAAGGAAGCAGGAAAGCAGGATGGACAGTAGATGGGGTAAAGGAGCCTTGGGGCAGCAATACAATAATAGAAATGGATTAAGTTTTAAAAAAGCAGTCTAGAAACAAGACTAAGCTAAGGCTGAACATTCATAATTAAGTGTTCATGTCAAGATTTGGGGGCTGGTGGTCTAAGAAAATCTGCTATACTATGAGAATGTCTGAGTCACCCTGGAGAGGGAATGGATGAGTATGGGGTAGACACATGGCAGAAGGGAGAGGGATGAAGACTGGTGAAACATGGGCAATCAGCTATCTCCATTCTGTTGGCTCATAAATAAACTCACTTCAGGTCTCATGGCCACATGAGGATTTGTGTAGTGATAACATACCAAAGGGACCAGGGGATTGGAAATGATTTGGAAGAGGCAAGTTTTCAGGCACCTCTGGACAGATCCCCTCAGATAGGATTTGAAGGGAGGGGAAAGTGATGGAGGGAAAAGTGTGTTTAAGAACCCAAGGACCCTTATGTCTCTGTCTGAGGTCCTGCCTGAACTGTTCCTGCCACAAGAAAGTTGCTTTTCCAAGGAACAGCATGATGGCCTGTAACCCCAGGAAATCCAGGAACATAGAGGATAGCAAAGGATTCCCAAAGAACGGTGAGGCCAGAAGATCCCTATGAAATGGATGGAATTGGGTAGAAACCTCCTTGGGAGACTATGCATAGACCTTTGCTAGCTAGAGTGTTATTTCTCCTGGACCATGAGGACAGCTGTTCCTCACTCCAGTTCAAGCAGTGCACCTTACTTCCCCCCAATTCCTTCCCATGAGTTCTGTACATCTTGCTCCAGGAGGTACAGAGAGAACAGAACTAGGATCCACCTGGGGCTTTGTTCTTAGAAGTATTTTATTTTTAATTCTCTCTCTGGTATTAATGGGAAGAGACAAAAGAGAGGTCCCCTGGGAGCAGGAGAGAGAGAGAGGGAGGGAGGGAGACTAATGCAAGAATGACCTGAATTTAAGGTAGGGAAAATGAACTGGGCACTGGCCCCCAATCTGTCTGTAGATATCCTGTGAGGTAACTGTGGGTGGTCTACTCTGCTGAGCAGCAAATCCAGGCTGTGACACATGCTTGCTAACAGGGAAGAGCCTGGATTCCAACTCAGGTGTTTCCATTCTGCTATAGTCTTTTGACTGCTGTAAACTATGTTAGTTATTGCAACCTGCCTGTTTTGTAGTAGAGTGCCTGGAAAGCTGATGGCATTACAGTTAGAAGAATGGAGTTTAGGGCCAGGATTCTAGGCTTTTTGTCAAGTCCCTTTGCCTGGATGAGTTTGCTTCCTCGTCTATGAAACAAGGGGAATGACCTCACTTCTGGGGTAAGCTCATTTCAAGCATTACTGTGGTCTGTGCTGCTTCTCCACAACAAAACAAAACTGTTCTTCAGTAGAGAACTCAAGACTCTGCTGTACCTTGTGGGCTTGTTCACATAAAATCACAAGGGGTCAGCCATTGTCCAGAAAACCACTCAATTTATTTGCTAAGATTCACCCCTTGGTTCTTTGTTCCACCTCAGGCTTGAGGCGAATTTAACCACTTAGAGCACTTAGGACAGGCAGTCTACAAGCCTATGAGAGACCCCTCTTTCTTTCTATCTCCTAATTCATATGAATTCTTACCTTGAAATATGTGCTTCAAGGACCTGAGTCAAGTTCCAGTTCCTAAGGAAGCTTTCTTAACATATAAGCTCACAGTAAACTTCCCCCCTTACTTTAGCTAATGTTTTCTGGGTTGTTTTTAGCTTCTTTTATTTAACAGAAATGATTTTTTTTGGTTTACTTTTTTATTATCTTAGTCTAAGGGAAGCGTGGTGTTGACTTTGATGGATACTATAGAGGACATAAAAGGCCCAGAGAATAATTGCTCTAAGCTTGCAGTACCCAGCCAACCCTTGGGGGAATAGCATAACAGGTCCACCTTCTTGGGTAGATTGCTCCTTCCACCAAGGAGATAAGGGGAACATGAGGAAGCCCCCATTTACACCACCCTAGGTGCAGCCAGATGGAGGTGGGAAGCAGGGCAGCCACTTCTTCCATAGACAGATCTGACCAAAGGGCCCTTGAGGGATGTTTGGTGGCCCCGCCTACCTCCTTTCCTGTTCAGATGTCATTCTTGCCTATATTTTGATATGACCAGGCCTCTGGAGCTGAAGATGGAGACAGTTTAGGCCCTGAAATAAATAAGAGGAGACACCCTTAGATGTATGATGAGAAGAAAGCACTCACTTTTTGAGCAGGAAGCTGTGTCATGGCTTAAGTAGTTCAGGAAATGTCCTTGTTTTCAGTGGGTCAGCATGTGTGTGTGTGTGTGTGTGTGTGTGTGTGTGTGTGTAGTATTCATAAAGAAATAAAGGTGAATGGTGAGTGGAAGGAGGCATTTGACCTAGAGTAGCTCCCCTCCAAAACCCGAGAAACTCAGATTTAAGATTTTAGGAAGGAGGCTGGCCAGAGGCTGAGATGAGCTCTAAGGTGAGGATAGAAAACAGCATAGTTAGTCATCTATCTACTGAGGGTGGAAACGTGGGAGATCAATCAGTTCTAGCCTTCAAGTGTTTTATGATCCAAACACATAAGGAACAGACCCTACTTGGATGGGTCCCTCGCTGCTTTTTTCATGGATACCCTTCCCCACCTTCCAAACCACTACCAGGTTGCTTGACCCCGATACTTACCTGGCCAAGCCTCTTCCCAGCTTAAGCTTTCTCCCTTTTGAGCCTCATGTCACAGCGGTGGCCTGCTGTTAACCTGCCCCTCCCAACACTTTGTGACTTCAGCTATGACATCATAGATGTGGGGCAATCTGCTCTCTTCTAGACTCACCTCCCATTTTCTTACCTCCATGTGACAATGGTGAAATGAGGAGATAATATAGAATTAGAAGTTTAATGTTTAAGCCAAAGGAGACTTTGGTTCCTTTGTTTCCCTCTACTAATTTTATAACGAATCCATCAGTCCTCAGAGTGAACCCCAAAGCAGAATCTCTCTTCTGTTTTGAGTTTCTAAAGAAGACATAAAAAAATCTGACTTCACGATTTCTGTGAAGATAAACCGTTTTTGTTCTGAATTCCAGAAGTTTTTGACTTGGAAAATTACCAAAAAATGATAATGAATACAAAGCTAATATGCCTAAAAAATCCTAAGAAGCACCAGGGCTGAGGTCTTGCTGCTTTTGTGATTAGACCTTTGGGAGGAGCAGCTTCAAAGAAGGCCTGTGTCAATGTGGGACGTTCCCATCAAAGTAGGAACTTTGAAATGTATTCAGGAAGACAGGATCTGAGGTAGAAGAACATTCCAGAGCCCACAATCTGCCTAGGTGATTGTGGCAAAGATTCAATGATGCCTTAGCAGAGAGCAAAAAGATCTGGAATCTGAAGTGGAGTCACAGTGCATTTAACCCGTGACACAATGGCAGGACGGACCCTGCTATAGAAGTCTGGACATCTGGTCACCCTCATGCCTGTTTCTACCAGGATTTGTGGAAAAGGCTGGGTTGATTTTAGAACTTCTGCTGTTACTAGTGAGAGCACTGTGGGCTGTCTGACACAACACTTTCCCACTGGTGTGAATTGCTTATAGGATTAGTGGCAAGAGACTAACTAGAGTCTAACACTGAGTGCCAGGACCCTTCCTTTAATGATAGTCTTCCTTATTTACCTCAGTTTCCATAGAGTCCATGTTTCACGTTCCCTCATAGACTTTTATCAATTTTGGCTAGACATATCCCACAAGCCAACAGAAACTGTCATTCTATCCAAAATTAAATTCTTCATTCCATCCACCTTCCTGGCCACATGAGATGGTGCATCTGACAACTCAGGTCAAAAGTCTCAGACTCATCACCTCTCTCATATCTGTCTTGCATTAGCTCGCCCTATTGTCTGTACCTCAAAGTGTGTGTGTACCTGGTCACTTCTCATGGCCTCCAGACAAGCCATGTTTATATCCTGAGCTGCTTACAAAGCCTCTCAATGGAGTAATTTTTTTATTTCTGCAATAGTCAGAATGAGCACTGTAAGACACACAGATCATATCCACCCCCAAACCATGGGTTTCCTTTGCTTCGTGCTCAGGACACATCCAGGCTAGCTCCTGAGGGGTTTTCCTCCTCCCCATGTCCTGTCCATTTCCCATTTACACCGACTTTCTTCCCTCCAAGTGTCCAGAGAGTACTTTCCTCTTCTTCCCAGGACATTCTTCCAAATGTTCATTTGGTTTCTCCTCACATGACATTTCCACAGAGGGTTCTTCCTACAGCCTCTAGCTAATGCTGCAGCACAATCACTTAAATCCTTTATTCTCATTTACATTTTTCTTTCTTTTTAAATTTTTATTGAAAATTTTATCTTATTGAAACTTTATTCTACAAATTTATTTTCAAATAGTATGTTCTGATCATGGTTCCCCTCCCTCATCTCCTTCCATATCCTCTCCACCTTCTCAACCTCTGAAGGCCACACCTACTTTCCCTCTGAAGAACACAAATAGGCAAATAAAAACACACAAACAAGAATAAAGCAAACGACACTTTCAATGACCCTTAGTGTTAATGATGCCCCCCACATGCCCTCCCTTACCCCCTTCTTTCCCTTTCTGTTTAATACCCCCTTATAGTTTCCGCTTGTTTCTCTCTAACTATATATGCTATTTTTCCTGCCTTGGTAGATATTTTCTCTCAATTCTTAGTTCCTTACTCTATACTTAACCTCTGTGGTTATTCAGTTATGAGCATGCCTATCAAAGGCTAAAAGCTAACATCCACATAGAAGAAAGTACATACCATATTTATCATTATGAGTCTGGGTTACCTTACCCATGATGATTTCTTTTTCTAGCTCCATCCATTTACCTGAAAATTTCATGAATTTTAACAGCCTAATAATATTCCATTGTGTAAATGTACCACATTTTCATTATCCATTAATTTGTTGATCTAGGCTGTTTCCACTTTCTGGATATTATGAATAGAGCAGCAACGAACATGGCCAAGCAAGTGTCTCTGTAGTAGGGTGTAGTAGTCACTACACATATTTGATTTATAGTGTCATTTACCTTCAATGCTCCTCTGTTTAGTGTGTAGCTGGATGGGCTGTCAGTTGGAGGAAGTGGGGTATTAAAACCACTACCATTCTGTTGGGGTTAATCTGTGACTTGAAGGCCAATGGAGTATTTTCAGTGGAATTGGGTGTATCTGAGTTTGATGCACATACACTTAGGATTGTGATATGTTCCTGATTTATTGTTTCCTTTATCAGAATGAAATGTCCTTCTTTGTCTTTTCTGATTAATTTTTCTTTGAAATCTATCTTGTTAGATCGATCGACTTTATGGTCCCATTTGCTTAGAATAACTTCTTCCATCTTTCAACTCAATTGCAGTGCCTCTCCTTTAAGGTAAGCCAAGCTTCTTGAAGGCAGCAAACAGATTTTGTTTCTCAATCCATTCAACTAACTTGTTCTTTTGATTGGTGAGTTGAGGGCATTAATGTTTAAAGTTATTAATGAAAAATTCATGTTGATTGCTATCATTTGTTTCTTTTTTGCCATTCATTTTGTTGCTTGTTTCCTTTGCATAGCCTCTGTATTATGCCAATTCCCCTCTAGTCTATTTATGTATTTTTTTTAAGGTATGAGTGCTCTGTCTGCATGTATAACTGCATGTCAGAAGAAGGCTTCAAATCCCATTATAGATGGTTGTGAGCCACCATGTGGTTGCTGAGAACTGAACTCAGGACCTCTGGAGGAACACCCAGTGAGCCACCTCTTCAGACCTCTCTCTTCAGTCTAAAGGATCCCTTCCAAGATTCTTTGTAGGGTTGGTTTGGTGGGCATGGATTCTTTTAGCCTTTTTTTTATATCATGGAAAGTTTTTCTTTCTGTGTCAACGTAGGCAGGTAGTTTTGCTGGGTATAGTAGTCTGGATGGGAAACTGTTATCATTGATGGAGTTTCCTTCATATATGACTTGTGTCTTTCCTTTAAAAACTTACACTACTTTTCTATCTTCTGTATTTAGAGTTTTAAAGTGTAATATGACAAGGGAATTTCCCTTCAGTCTTGTCTTTTGGTGTTCTCTGTGCCTCTTGTAGTTGAATGGGCACATCTTTCCTTAGTTTGGTGCTGTAAAATAATCCTTCTCTATACTGTGAAAATGTGTTGCTCTCACTGTTAATAAAAAGATGATTAGCCAGTAGCTAGCAAGATTTTTGGGGCAGAGAGAATTCTGGGAAGAAGGGCAGAGTTTAGAGAGTCATGAGAGAGGCAAGATGAATGAGCCATGATGAAAGAAGGTACAGCCATGTGGCAGAGGGTAGATAAGAAATATGGGTAAATTTAAAATGTAGGAGTAACAAGGCTGAGCTATGGGCGGAGCATTTACAATTGATAAGTCTCTGAGTGGTAATTTGGGTAGCAGCTGGCAGAGCAGAGCTGATGTTGGTCCCCAAGAAAAACTCCACCTACAGTTTGGGGAAATTTTCTCCTGTGATTCTATTGAGTTGGAGGCCAGCCTGGTCTACAGAGCCAGTTCCAGGACAGGCTCCAAAGCAATAAAGAGAAACTCTGTCTTGAAAAACAAAACCAAAAAGTTGTGGGTAGAAACCAATAGCAGCGGCAATATCCTGTAGAGCTGGGGGAGCGAGGGCCTAATGAGATCCCTTTGGCCCATGACTCAGACTAGTATAACCCATTCTTATTACTGGGGCTTTTATTTGGCACCATATGATATCTAGTTGGGATATTGCATCCCCCATAATATGTTAGAGCCCTTAAATCCCTTTTTAATATATGTATACATTTTAGGAAGTCTCTACAGTAGTAGGTTTTTATTATTTAAGAATTTTATACAATGTATTTTAATCATACCCACCCTCACTTTTCCCCTCTAAACTCCTGTGTGTTAGCCAGGGTTCCTTAGAGGGCTAGAACTGGTGTGTGTGTGTGTGTGTGTGTGTGTGTGTGTGTGTGTGTGTGTTATCAGAATGGCTTGCACTCTGTGTTATTAGGCTGTGCTCTAACAATAGCTGCCTCCTGACAGAAAAGCCAAGGATCCAGTAATTGTTCAGTCCATGAAGCTGGATGGCTCAGCTAGTCTTCAGTCTATATTAGAATCCCGAAGAAGTACCACTCACTCATGCTGAACCATTTCAGGCTTTCTAACGTGAGGTATGAAGCATCT